CTCCTCCCTAGGACTCCGTCCCCTCCCCCTTCCCCAGGACACCCCTCTTCTGTCTGGTGTGGCCATGGTGCCCTGGGCTTAGGAACTCTGGCAGTTCCACCCGGGCAGTGGGGGATGCCGGGAGGGTGCTCAGGTGAGCAGCCCCCTGCCCCTGCCAAGTGTGTACTGAGTTGGTGTCAGCGACAAACTTTACTGCTCGGAGAGCACCTCCTGGAGAGGCCGTGTACACCTGCTGGGCCTGGCCCCTCCTTCTACTGAAGAAAACAGCCCTGCAGCCGGCCTGGCACCCATGCTGCCCCCAGTCTCAGTTCGTGCTGAACGACTGACTTCTGGGGCCTTCGACATCACCCTTCCTTTTCCTTACTGCACATCTGCTGTGTGCTCCGCTCCGCACTGGAGTTTTGGGTTGATCCGCCTTTGGGTCTTTGGGTGCAAGTTAAAAGAGTGCAGTCACTCGCTCTTTGCAGTCTGCAGAAGCTGCCTCGTGGACTGTGAACGGTATTGTGAAGGAGAAAGTGCCACAGTCACATTTGGGAAAAGCTCGTTTAAATTTTGTTTAGGCGGTTGTATTCCTTCTTGTGTTGCTGAGGTATCTCCCGTGTGTGGGGTTATAGAGCTCCAGAGTTAATATTTTGTTGTTGCGCTTTTCCTAATTTACCACCAAAAATGCTGTGTCCAGAATATCATCTGAATTGTTGTATTTCCGTGTCCAGGTCGCCTCAGAGGCAAGGGCTGGAGGGGCCAGCCTTGCAGCCCCCTGGAAGGCCCAGGACACAGCTCAGGAAATGTGTAACAAATCATGAAGGCTAGGTGGTCATATCACATCTCTGCCGTGCATGTTTCTAGATATGGATCAGAAACTGTCCAAGCTGGTAGAAGAGCTCACAACTTCGGGGGAACCCCAACTGAATCCTGAGAAAATGAAGGAACTGAAGAAAATTTGCAAGTATGTCTTAAGGTTCAGCATTTCACACCAATTGGCTGGCTCAGCAAATCCGCCACACCCTTGGGGTCAGGCCTTCCACCACCTGCATCTATCTCAGCCCTGGCCTGCCTGTCCCCACTGTCGCCTCTCTGCACAGGGAAGGAACGGTCCAGGATGTTTCCCCAAGACCCTGCAGGGCCCAGCTCTGCAGGTGGTCACCTTGTGGGGCAGTGGTCCTTGGTGGCGGGGGCGGTGTGCGCGGCATGAACACTTTCTAAAGGCCATGTCAGCTGGGACCTGTTGAGCATAAGTCGAGATTTGCTGATTGTCCTTATCCCATATTTACAAGACAGGAAAATTTAAGTGACTTTAACGAAGTCTTCAGCTTTTGACCAAAAAAATTTCAGCTCAGATTAGGTTTCAGTGTAGACCCAGAACACCGCAGAACAGTAGCAGCTTCTTTTGCAGGGAAGATAGCTGGGAAGGGCAACAGGAGGGGGCAGGGTGTGTGCAGGCTCCTCGGAGGGCAGGTCCTTTTCACTTTTGCTTCAGTTCTGTCGCCGCGTCTGCAGGGGAGGCTGGGGGCTGGGGTCTCCGCTTGGGATGGAATCTGCTCTGATGTTCTCCGACGGGCCAGATGGTGACTCCTCAAGGCTTTGCAGGCCATAAAGTTTCTGCAGTGACGGCTCAGCTGTGGACAGTAGTGGGAACGATGTGAAGGAGTGGCCGTGCTTGTGTCCTGATAAAACTTGATGGGCACTGACGGTGGCTGTCATGATTTTCACGTGTCATGAAGTATTATTTTGGTTTGTTTCAGCCATTAAAAAATGTCAAAACCATTTTTTTTAGATATTTATTTATTTGACAGAGACACAGCGAGAGAGGGAACACAAGCAGGGGGAGTGGGAGAGGGAGAAGCAGGCCTCCTGCAGAGCAGGGAGCCCCATGCGGGGCTCGATCCCAGGACCCTGAGATCATGACCTGAGCTGAAGGCAGACGCTTAACGACTGAGCCACCCAGGTGCCCCTGTAAAAACCATTCTTACTTGTGGGTCGTACAGAAACAGGCGGGGACCCGAGGGCAGTCGTTGGTCCAAACTTTTCTGGACAAAGGGGAGAGGGCCCTGCTGCTTTGCATGCTGTGCACACAGAGTATCAGGCACTCAGCGAGGACGACTGGTGTCCCTAGGTCTTCAGAGGAGCAGCTCAGCCATGCCTACCACCTGCTCACGGCCCAGCTGAGCCAGGACCACGCCGAGATCCGCCTCTCCGCATTCCAGGCCATAGACGAGCTCTTCGCCCGGTCCCATCAGTTCAGGATGCTGGTTGTTTCCAACTTTCAGGAGTTTCTGGAGCTCACACTGGGCACCGACCACGAGCAGCCCCTGCCACCTCCCAGGGAAGTGGCTCAGAGGCTGCGGCAGGCTGCCACCCGGGCCATCCAAGGGTGGAATGAGAAGTACGGTGCAGCCTACAAGAAGCTCGCCTTGGGCTACCACTTCTTAAGACACAGCAAACAGGTGGGCAGGCCACACTCTGTGCTGCGTTGGTGGACAGACTTGTCTGGCCTCGGTGGCCAGCCAGTGTTCGGGGGCAGTGGGGGTGCTCCCAGGAGCAGGGCAGCAGCTCTGGGAGGAGGATGTGTGGAGGGAACTGGGCCTCTGGTCTTGACTTCCACAGAAAGCCAAAACGAGGGAAAAGGGTCGGCTTCTCAGACGCGGCCTTGCTCTGTGTCCAGGAGTTGAGTCCCTCCTGTGGGCTGCTGTGGGCTCTGGTGGCCTTGAGTGCATGAGACCCACCAGGACTGGCTGCTGCCGCCCCTGCCCTCCTGTCCAGGTGGCTGGCCGGTCCCCGCTGTGGCCTGAGCATGCTGCCTGGCACTGCACATCCGGGGTCCCCTCCCAGGGTGTTTCCAGGCCCCTGAGTGGGGCGAGCGGCCTCCCCCCATACTCCGCGCGGCAGCATGCTGCTTTTTCTGGAAGATGGAGCTGGTCGTGCCTCTGTCGGGGACCAATCATTGCTGTCAAGTGTGTTTCCTGGTGTTCGGAAGAACTGGACCCCAGGGACCCAGAGGGTCTGGCTCTGTGCTGGTGCCGGCACGTCTTCTCCTAGGCCTGTGTTTGACCCATTTTCTTTGTGTTCTGTGCAGTCAGGTCTCACGTCCACTTCCAATTTCCCAGGTGGATTTTCAGGACGTGAGCGCGCGGACTCTGGCAGAAAGAAAGCGGGAGGAAGAGAAGCAGAAGCGCTTGGATAGAATCTACAGGGAGAGGTCTGAGCAGGCCATCAGGGACATGGAGGGTGAGTGAGTTCTCAGGCCTGAGGGCACCTGCCGCACCTCCCAGGGCCTTGTGCAGCCCGCCCACCCTGCTGCCGCAGCGGGGAGCGGGGGCAGACCCCAGCCTTGTCCCCAGGAACGTCTGGGTGGCCACTGCTCTCCCGCGCCCCCTGGCGGAGCCGCGTGGGCACCGTGCTTCAGTGAAGGTCTCGGCTGGGGGAAGCAGGGAGATGTGCCTATTCATCTCATGGCCCCTGTTTGCTCTTGCCAGTGCCCCCACCTCCAAAACCTGACGCTTCTGAGCAGCTGGCCCATTCCGTGAGGGGCAGCCAGGGGGAGAGGAACCCGAGGGGCAGGCCCCAGCTGAAGGCACTTCTGGGGTGCCTGGCCCTGGAGGAGGCTGGAAGCAGTCCCCTGTCCCCCGAGGAGGGTGTTGGCCAGCCCCAGGGAGATCCCTGTCAGGAAGTGGCTGGCCAGAGGAGAACGGTCGAGATGTGCTCCAAATGGAGGACTGGGGAGTGGTGTGTGTCCTGATGGCTCCCCACTCGTCTCTGTCCTCCGGAAGCTCTGTTCATGGCGGCACAGCCCACTTGGCATTCCCGGGGCACCAGTGAAACTCGCAGCAGAAGTCCAGACCTGAGGGTGTTTCCAAGGACATCCCAGAGGGTGGCCTTGTGCTGCTGAGCTGGTGGCTTCTCAGTGATTACCAAGCCTCCACACGCCCAGGGCACCGGCCTCTGTTGGGGGAGGAAGGAGGAGGCGCAAGTTCGGGCAGCCTGCACTCCCGTGTAACAGCCCGCCTGCCGCTGGGGCCCACCTGCTACTGGGACGTGGCCCTCCCTTTGATCATGGGCCCTGCCCTGGGGGAGGTGGTGCCGTTTGCTGGCGGGCCCCAACAGGCAGTACCTGTGTCTGCAGAAATGTCCGAGGACATCCGGTGCTGCCTCACGGAGGTGGAGAGCTGCTTCAGGCTGCTGGTGCCACTGGACTTTGCCGCAGGCCTGGACGCCTCGTTGCCCACGGTGGCCTCCAGTGTGTCTGAGCAGAGTGCCCCTTGCCAGGCTGGCACTGGGAATCACGGGGACGAGGAGCAGCCCTGCTGTAGCAAGACCCTGCTCGCCTGTGCCGGCCATCCCGGAGCCGGCAGTGGGGAGGGGCCGCCCCGGAGGGCCACAGGGGCCGAGGAGGAGGAGGACAGTGACAGCGATGAGGAAGGGTTTCTGCGGCGCCACGGACTGGGCTCCCACAAGTACACACTAGACGTGGAGCTCTCCTCAGGTAAGCGCCGGCTCCTGCTGGCTGGCCGGGGCTCTGTCCCCTCAGCCATGGGTCCTAGGGACGCTGGCAAGAGCCCAGACTTCTTGGGACTGTGAGCAGGGCAGGAACTCCAAGGTTGGGGTGAGGGGTGACTTGAGGCTTGGGGCCCGTGGCTCCACCCCAAGGTCCTCCTTGTGATGGGCAGGCCTGATTCTCCAAGGGACTGGGGAGGGTGCAGGGCCTGGTCCCAGGCCCATCGGGATTGGAGGGTGACCGTCAGGGATCAGGCGCCCCCCGCTCTGGCTCGGAGGAAAACGTGGTTGGACAGCAGCTTCTCACCATGTTCTGCACCATGATGATGCAGGTGTGGTTGGGAGCCCTTTGGGGGTGTTCAACAGAGGAAGGGCAGTCAGGCTGCCTAGCTGTGTGAAGACCTGCCACCCCCAGGCATCTTGGGTCCCACCAGCCCCAGGGAACTAACAGCTGTCTGGCGGGTTTGGGGGGTGAGCAGGCCATGTGCAGGAGGTGGGGGTGCCCGGCTGAAGACAGGCTGGGGTGGCGGGATGTGGAGGGAGGGCCGTGGGACTGAGCAGCGGTGTGGGCAGTAGTGGGAAGGGGCTCCAGGGCTCCTGGGGCTCGGTGGATGGGCTGGGGTCTTGTCTGTCCATGAGAATGCTGTGTGGGGTCTCAAGGTCTGGCGTGGAGGGAGGTATCGGGCTCAGGCTAAAATGGTCTGCACCGAAATCAGAATCTTAAAAGTACTGAATCTGTTTCTCAGGCACGAGGTATGGGGTCCTGGGCAGAACGTGGCTGGGGCACCCTCCGTGGTGCTGGGTGACCGGCCCTGGTGCCTCTAGTGACCCTGTGTGCTTTGTTACAGACAATCTGAGGGTGCGTGAGGACGAAGACAATCACGCTGTCATCCACTCCGCCCGGGACGCGCTCAAGCTTATCCAAAACACCTTCCTGCCAGCTGTGTGCTCCTGGGTCCAGGTGAGGTCCCCGCGTGCCGGGGTGCCAGGGCAGAGTCGGGGCCATGGGGTGTGCGGGGGTGCACGCTGGGGGGGGTGGGGAGGGCGCCCCGGCCTGCCTGAATGATGCGCCCCCTTGTTGGCAGATATTCACCCGCGCAGGGATCCACGGTGGGCACCTGGAAGCTGCCATCGACCTGAAGACAGAACTGGAAAGGGCCCTGAGGCGATTGGGAGAGCTGGACATCCAGCCTGAGGAAGGGCGCTGGAGGGAGGTGAGTGCTGCCAGCAGGCTGGGGAGGGGTGACAGCAAAGAGATCTCCTCTTTGAGCTGTTTTCTGAGTCAGCAAGAATCACTGGGGCTTGGAAGTATTCTGGTTCCTGCCCCGCTGGGAGCTCCTTTCCTGAAATGGGAGTTTTGGCCTGGGGGGCCAGGGAGCACAGCGCAAGCTTCCCTGTGGATGGAGGGTGGGTCCAGGGTCCAGGGCAGGAGGGCATGGGAGAGCTGCAGGAGGAGGCAGAAGATTCTAGTTGGGAGGGAGATCCCAGGGCCCTGGAGGAGGAGGCCATGGGCTGAGCTGAGATCCAGGCTAGCCCTGCCGCACTGCTGTACCTTGAGCCTCCCGAGTGCCCAGCAGAGCCTCCCGTGAGCTGGTGAGGGCCTTCGGGGCTTCAGCATCTCTTCCTGTCCACCTGCATCGTGGCCAAGGACACTTGGTGTTAGGGTGTCTGAGGTAGACACAGAATCAGGACTTGTCCTCGGACTTACGCAGAGGGCCATGTCCCTGGCCTGGGGAGGTGGACGCCATGGTCCCAAGCAGGGCCCTACAGAGGAGCTCCCGGGCGGCGAGGTGGGGTGAACATGCAGCCTGGTGCCCCATCTGGGGAGGCTGGTCAAGGCTGGGCATCTGCTGGTCGTGTGGCACCTCACAGGCACAGGTTTGGGAGGGGGAGGCTAGCCCTCTTGAGTGCTGCGTCCCCAGGCAAGGTTGTGGAGCAGGGGCAGGCCCACACTTAACTGACGGAGCATGGGTGAGGTCCATCAGCTCTTGGGACACTAGGTGACTTCGGGGGTCCCCCTCCCATGACCTGTGCCAGGCCTAGACCTTGATGCCGAGATGGACATGAGAGCCACGTCCCTCCGTAGGTGTCCTTGGGGCCTGCCAGTAGGGCAGGGAACTCAGAGCTGGACTACAGCGGGGGTCAGCACAGCCGCTGCCCTCTCAGAAGCAGGGAAGCAGACTCTGGAGTGCACCTCTCTGCGAGGGTGCTGGGACCCCGGACCTGGCACACTGAGCGGCGTATTTGCGCATCTGCTCTGGTTGGATGTACTGTTTCCAGCAGGAGCTCTGGGGTGGGAGGAAGGAAGAGAGCAGGTTCGGAGCCATTCAGACTTAGGACGGATGGTGGCTGACACCGTGGGTCTTGGCACCCAGTGACCTTGACTCCTCCAGAGCCACTGGACACCTGTTGCAGGGCCGCTACCCTGGCCTGCGTTTCTGAGGGATGGCCCCACCGGCTGTCTTCCAGGTGCAGGGTGTGGGGGCCCCAGGGACCGGCAGAGGGCGGTCTTGTCTTTCTACAGCAAAGCTGTGGTGTCTGAAGAAAGTTCTGGGCTGGGAGCAGGGCCTGCAGGTTGCCTGGCATTTGCCGGCTGATGTCCTAGCGGGGTTTTTTTGGGCGCGAGGTTTTTTGTAGAGCCTTGCTTGGGGGCTGTGAGCTCACCAAGAAGATAGCTGTGTGAATTTTGACCAAGGTGCTTTTTTTTTTTTTTTTTTTACACCCGAGGAACGCTGTTCTCTGGTCTCAGGAGGGAGGTGATCCAGTTGGCTCGTCTAGCACGTCGGGAGGGATTTATCTCTGAATGCTGGACGAGCCAGGGTCTTGGCATCAGGGCAGCGGCTGGCCTGAGAGCAGGGAGGGGTGTGGGGATTCATGGCGCCCTGACGACCGGCCCCCCTGCCTAGCAGGGGCTCGCACTGTGTCTGAAGGAAATGGGGGAAGCGCCCTCAGGGCAGCTGGGGCTTTGGGGAGAGCCCCAGAAGCCGTGAGGACTGGTTGGACAGCATGACCTTGTCCCGCCAGGCCTGGGGTCCGCAGCACTGCTGGGGTGGGCAGAACTCGGAGCCCAGAGCTGGCAGCAGAACCTTCTCGCCTCACAGCTCTAGGGCCCCCAGGGGAAGGGCAGTTCTCCTAATGGGCCCAGTGAGGCCGGCGCCTCCCAGTGCAGGAGGCACAAGGTGTTCTGCGGGGTCGGCCCCAGCCCCAGACAGTGCCTGGACTGTGCCTGGACCGTTTGGGAGCCCCCGGCACTGCCCCCCAGGCATCCGAGGGAGCGTCTAGTGGGGGCAGCTCCATGCTGCTCTGGGCAGGCTGGTCAGGGACGTCACCTCGGGGGAGCGCTGGCGAGGGTGGGGGGCCAACCTGGAGGACGGCTGTGGGTGAAGGGGCCCTGCCCCTCCTGCACGGGGATAGTAGGGCTGGCCGAGACTCGGACTCGCGGGTCACTGGGGCCCTGTCGGCTGAAGCTGCCTGTGGGAAGGTGGCGCGGCTTCAGCGGGAAGGGCGCATCACTGCCTCTGTCAGCTGAACGGACACTTTCCAGACACTTTTCCACCAACTGATTTAAAAAAGGCACAATCTCCAAGGATTTCGGAGATTGTGCCTTGGAGATTGTGCCTTTTTTAAATCAGTTGGTGGAGAAGTGAAATCCTTGAAGATTGTGCTCACCCGCGCTGGCGGGTGGCGGCACCTGGAGATGAAGCGATTGGGGCTCGAGTGGCTGAGTGGCAGCACCCCGCTCAGGTGAGCGCCGCTTCCCAGAATAGACGCGCCACTCTGCTCCCACTCTGCGCAGGGCGGGCGGCCACGGGAGCCACTGCGGTAATTAGAAATTACCAACGAGTTGCTCTCCGCTCATTTTCAAGTAAAACGGACAGGGCTTTAAATCATTTGCCGTAGCGTTTCCCAACCTGGCGGGGTCGGTGTGGTAACCGCGTGCACAGCTGGCCGAGCTGGGGACGCTGATTCGGGAACGTGGGATTTGAGGATTTTAGGACCTCTGACAAATGTGGCAGAGATGAGCACAAACACAGGGCTCCTGGCTGGCAGCTCAGACGCTGGGGAGGAGTCGGGGGCCCAGCTGGGAGCAAGCCGTTCGGGGTGGGGGTGTCGGAAGGTGTCCTGTTTCTGGTTTTGTGTTGTTGCTGGTTTCTACATACTGTTTTCCTTTTGACTTAGAGGTTCCATTTTTGAGAAATATTTAAGTCAGTTTAAATATGTTTAACTGTTCTATGGAGTGTGTCTCTGTTCTGTTTGGAAGCAGCTGTGTATAAATCTCAAATAGATCAGTGTGGAGCATCATTTAGTAGATTTAGTTTTCAGTCCTCTGCTGTGGGAGAGTTGTAATAATCCGTGCCTGCTACATTCGTGAAACTGATAAAAATCCTGTATAAACTTTTAAATTGTCTACGGTTTATGTGGCCACGATCACTAATTATTGTGTGTTGTGTAATTAACAAAATATTAATTTCCTACCAACTACTATGTCTGAAAAAAATAATTTCAAGCATCAGTTTATATAAACTATCAGCAGGATTTGTTTTGAATGGCTGGGTTGTATAAATGGGTAGAACACTCGTGTGGGTGTTTCCGTTCTCACTGAACACCAGCCTGACGCAGCCGCGGGCTGGACCGCGAGCACATCCTCACTCGTTCCCGAAGCAGACATCACCCCACGTGGCTCCGGGAGGCTTTCCTTCTGTGCCAGCCGCCCGCTGCCTGCCCACGCGGCCTCCCTAGTGGACGGGACGGGCCTTCTGCTGGAGGAAGTACCTCCCGCCTCAGGCAGGGGCCCTGGACGCTCCTGCTGCCCTTGTGTCTGACGAGTTTTCTGTGCCGTGGGAGCCACGTGAGTGCCGGCTTCCTGTAGGTGAAAAGGACAGAGCAGGAAGCCGGGGAATGAAATGTTGAACGAGTCAGGCACCCCAGGGAGGCAGGGGAACTAAATCAGCCAGCAGCCAGGACCTTGTGCACGGCAGGGCCAGTAAACAACCTTCCTGGAGACGCGGCTCCCTCCATCACGCTGAAGGCCACAAGGCTGCAGGGCTGTGAGCCGGGGGAGGGGTCCACACGCCTTCTGCCCTTCTCACCAGGGCTGGCAGCGCACGCAGGCGCCCCACTGCTCAGGGCCGGCCCTCTCCCCTGCGCCCTGGGGCCCCAGAGCACAGCCCCACCGCGTCCAGCTCTCCCCCTGCACTGCTGTGCACCCCTTGCTCCTGAACACCTTCACACATCGTCCCTTTGATTCCACAAGCAGCCCTGTGAGGTGGGTCACGTCACTACCCCAGTACACAGGTGGTAAGACTGAGTCTTGGGGGGAGGTTGTGTGAGCCTTGGCCATGGAGGGCACTGGCCGCCTGCGTTTTGCCTGTGAAGGTTGGGTTGAGGAAGGAGAGCGTGCACAGCGGGTTTTCCTGTTCTTGTGTGGATGCCGCTTCCTTGGGTGGTGAGAACTGGGGAAGCACTGTGCACTCCATGGGATGTGCTGTCCCGCAGCTCAGCCACTCACATGGGCTCCCCAGGGTAACCGCCGCGGAGGAAGGCGTGCCCGTCTGCACCGTAGCACAGACTCGAGTTACCCGCCTGTGGTTCCTGGGTCACCACCTGTGTTGGGGGACGGACGTGCCCAGACCCAGCAGGGCTCTTGGCCCCAGCCTCGCCCTGGAAATGGACCTCCAGGTGTCCCGTTGACCCACAGCCTGGTTGCTTGCACCGCCAGCAGGCAGTTTCCAAGGCGAGGCCTGTCTGTCGAGCACCTCATCCTGCGCGGATTTGTATCAGACAGGAAAGGGGGCCACAGTCACTCTGGAACACGGTGACGCTCGTCTGCACCAGCTCAGTTCCTGCAGAGCAGGGGACCATGTGCACTGTGGCCTTGTCTGCGTCCAGGCGGGCTCGGAGTGCCCCGGGTGGTGTTGGCCGGGGGTCCCTGTTCCCTCGTACTTGCCCTGGTCAGCCCCGCGCGCCCCACCGCCCTCTGCCCTCTGAAGGCGCGTCCCCAGCAGCTGGAGATGCACATGAGATATTGGCCTGGCTGGGCAATTTGCACGGCCTTCCAGGGAGGGCATTAGCATATAAATAGCAGATGCAGTGACGACCATCACAGCTGAGCACGTTTAATTTTTAGTTTATAAGATAGAATGGGGTTTTAAATGCATGGCCATCAAGCCGCTGAAAGACAAATGCAGTTTGGAGCTCACTTGTCTGACGAGGCCTTACATCATTTTTTTTTTTTTTTAAAAAGGGAAACAGACACACATAAAACTGAACAAAAGTGATTTCTTGGGTGAAAAGTAATTGAGATTGCGCACCGAGTTAATTAGATCGTACAAAATTTATTTAACGGTCCCAGCTGCATCTGGGCATGCGTTTGGCGGGCAGACCCGCTCCCAGAGCCAGGTCGCTCTTCCTCTTCCTCCTCAAATAATCAGTAACCCCGATACCCCCGCTGCTGTACACTGATTGTGTTGTATATTTTAGCCGTTTTATTGCTTGTTTAATTATGATCCCAGAGGCTCATTTTTCTAAATCCTTTTAACTGTGGGTGCGACTCCATCTGTATGAAACCGGCGGAAGGCCCATGGCCCTCCTCTGTGCCTCCTTGCAGTGGCGGCTGTCAGCGTCTCCTGAAGGGCCACCCGGTGTGTGAGGCGTCCGTGGGCCACAGGGCTCTGACCGCCTGCCCGGGCCTCCCAGGCTGCATGCCCAGGGACTCCACCTGTTGGAGGAGGTGGGTGCACACCCCAGACGCAGTGGGGGCGGGGTGGGGGGCTGCAGAATGAGAACAGTTCATGAGTTGACCCCATTTTGAGGACCACCCACCTTCAACCGGTTGCCACCTCAGGGCATCCACACACCTGTGCCCCACCCCCTGGCCAGTCTGTGACCTTTGACCTTGAGGGGAGGTGGCCACCTCCCTGCCCCACCCCAGGACTGGCTCCGGCCAGGCTCCTTCCTGCCGGCCTCAGTTTCCCCAGGCCGTGCTGTTTTGCCGGGCTTTTAGAGAGGGCTTCCTGGCCTGGCTGGTGGCGGTGTTCCTGTTCTCTGAGCCGGTGTTTGATGTGAGGCCCTGGAGCAGGTCACACGTGTGTCACAGCAGTGTGACTGCCTGGTCGTGGGGCTTCCTCTGGACAGTGGGTGTCACTGCCCTCCCCCAGGTGCTGGGGGGTTTCAGAGAGCCAACGCTGCCCCGGGAACTCCATGTTGAACTTGGAGGCTTTGGAGCGCGGATTTGCAGATTCGGTGTTAGCAGCAAAGTCCATCTCTGGCCCGGTGTCGCTGTGGTTCCAGGGGGCCACCCACGGCTAGAGAGCTCACGGCTCACGCACATAAGTGGGTTGCTGCAGAGGCCAGCGCCCTGGCTGCGGGGACCCTGAGAGGGCAGTTCTTGCCCCGGTGGGTCCTCCTGGAGGTGGGTGCGGCCTGGCCCGCTGTGAGCAGTGTTAATTTAAGAACAAAGAGCAGCCCAGGGCTCCGTATTTCATCACAGGAATAAACAGTTTTAGTTGGGGAGAAAGAGGGTATAATTCCTAATAGTTAGCTAAGCAGCTAAATATTTTTTAGGAAATGAAAATTTAGTAAAAGTCCCTGGTGAAATTGAAGGGTGTGAGCGGTAAGCATAATATTTTATGAAAATGACCCCCATATTTAAAATGTGGCGCTCTGTGTTATGCATTGTAGCACCCAGTCCACATCTACCTTTTAGAAAATTAAAACACATAAATTCTGTTTAGTGTTTGATACGCACTGCACTAGCCGAGAACCGTAATGCCCTAAAACCTTGGGCTGCTTTCCACCTTTCATAAATTTCTGGGTAGATTCTATACAAAAATAATTTTCAGGTCCGTGGCTTATTGTTATTCAAACGTGATTGATCGCCATCATTTGCCCAGCTCGGGAGTTAAGTGCCCCTGTCATTTCCAAAGAGTATAATTGGGACGTTTCACAGGTCAGTGGTGGAGACAGGCTTCCCTTTTGATCAGTGTTAGACTGATAACAAAAAATTACAGTTTCCGATGATTAATGTCTCCCGTGCTTCCCAGATGCACTGCCGTGGGTTGTACCCAAACAGAGTGCATTTGCATCTGATTGTGCCTCTTGGGGGCAGGCGGTGGCTCTCCCGCGGGCGTCCCCGGGCCGCAGGTAACGGCAGATATGGTTGCTGATGTCCCCGGTCGCGGTGGCCGCCACCAGGCCCAGCTCTGAAGCGACGGGGGGCTGCGGGGGGCTGCCGGTGTCTGTGACTCAGCTGAGCCTGGGAGGGCCTCCTGCCCCCATTGTCACCCAGGCTCTCTGTCCTCCGCCTCGACAGTGGCCCTGAGGTGTACTGTGGAGAAAGATTTCAGAAGTGAAGGCGTGTGTCACGAGGTTCTCCAGAATTTGCCCCGGTAGTTGGCATTTATCTGACAGGGGCCTCCATCCTGGATGTTTCCTTCAGTGGGGTTGAGACTGTGGTGCAGGCTCTGCGCCCTGGTCTGGCTGAACTGGCTCCCGAGTACTCCAGGGCCAGCTGGCAGTGGGGCGGGCGCTCCTGGTTCCTCCCTGCTCTGACCCTCTTGGGAAGGACCGATCCCGTGGGGGCTGCTCACCTCAAGTCCGGTCCTAGGGCTGTGGGGGGTCACTGAGAATGTGGGGCCAGCTGCAGAAGCCTGACTCCTGTTCCATGGAGGACCTCCGTGGAGAGGCCGGGTGCTGCCCAGCCAGCGGGGTGGGGGCAGAGGGTCCGGGTCTCATAGAAAGGAAGCCAGCCTCGTGCAGTTCTTCAGGCCCTCTGGGCAGGCTATGGTGGAAGTGGCCCCCAGCCCCTCTGGTGGCTCTGGGCCCCTCACCACACTGACCTGGGTGGGGAAAGGGGTCTCATCCAAAGGCAACTGTTTTCTCGGTGGCTTTTTAACAAGTCATTCTTAAGGACAGAATGTTCCAGAAGTGTCGTAGTCACACCAGCATCCCCAGAGCTGCCCCCAAAAGGGTGGACGCAGGGTGGCTGTGGTGCTTTGACCTGGAGGGAGGGGTGGCCCTGCCTCTCCCTGGGTGAAGTCGGTCTCCTGAGGCTCTGGGAACGCACCTACTCCTGTGCCTCTCCCCTGCGTTTCCAAGGGCACCAGGTGGTGGGGCAGGTTTGTATGTGGTCTGGACGCAAGCTGCGGATCTGGCATGAGCTCAGGAGCGGGACCAGGCCCAGGGATGATCTTGGGTCTCCAGTGCTGCAGCAGGACCGGGGTCCTCCGGGCCCCTGCGCTATGCTCATACGTAGGTCTGGGGGTGTCTCCACAGGTGGCAGCCCCAGGGAACAGGGCTGAGGCTGAGGATGAGGATGGTGGGGACTTCGTCGAGGTCCCAGAGAAGGAAGGGTATGAGGCCTGCATCCCCGACCACCTGCGGCTGGAGTGTGGTGAGTGCGGGGGGTGGGGGGCGCTGGGCAGGGTCCTGCTAAAGATGCTGACCCTCAGGGCGTGACCTCACATCTGGAGTCTGGGTCCCACTGAGCAGGGAAGCCAGCCATGGTGGGCGCCCTGCCTGCTGACACTGCAGATCTGTCACTGAAAATCTTGAAACTCTCCTTTTGTTCCCCACGTACTCTCGGGTCGGGCTCCTCCCCAAGGCCTCCCCGCAGTGGGCTCCCACTGTCCCTGTGGTGCGCAGGCCCCAGCACCCATTCTGTGGGCACAGCCAGGCCGGCGCCACACGAGGGGCAGCCTTGCTGGGGACACACGAGTCTCAGTGCTGGGGAGCGAGTCCAGGAGTCGGGCAGGCACCCCAGAGCAGAGAGCCCGCACAGCTCCTGTGCCCCGGGGACAGTGCTGTGGGTGACTTCCGAGGTGGCAGGAGACTGGTGACCGTTTGCTGGGCTCCTTAGTCCCCGGGCCCTGTTGGCTGGGGCATCCCCACTTGCCATCTGTGGAGTCATGGACTCCCCCTCTGGCCCAGGACACCTCCGTAGCTCATGGCAGAGGAGGGTTGTTCCTGGGAAGTGCAGCCCCAGCTCTGACTGGTCTTTGCTGTCTGGGGTTTCCTTCTTTGCCGCGTCTGCACCCCAGCATGGTGGCCATCTAGTGAGAAGGGGTGTGGGTCCGCAGGATCTACCCAGCACACACAGAGGCAAATAAAAACAAGACCCGCGGCTTTTGTGGAAAAACAGACCAGTCGATTTCTCTCTGAGTCTATAAGGCAAAATGTGAATTTGTTAACCAGAGTGTAGATGATTGGAGCTCAGGTGTGGCGCTGGGGCCCAGTAGGGGCATCGTGCCAAAGTAGCACATCCAGACCAGACGCCTGCCGTTCGCGCAGCCCCGGTTCTCCCCGGGCACCAGCCTGGACATGGGAGCAGCAGCGACCCGCCCCTGCTCCCAGCCCGCCAGGGCCCGTGTGCCTGCCTCGCCCTCTGCTCCAGCCATGCGGGCCTTCAATTCTTAGCTTTTGGGTCTTCCTCTGACCGATAGGCAGCGCTCCTGCCCTTTGTTCTTCCGGGTTCTGCACCTGAAATGGCCTGCCATCCCCGGCTTATGCTGCTGTCCCCCCCCAGAGCAGGGGCTCCCTGTGGCCAGAGGCGCCCCCTGAACCCACGAGGTACCTGGGGGCTGCCTAAGGCATCTGTCGGGAGCAGTGACTGCCCTCCCGTGCCCAGGCCGGAGCCCAGCAGAAGCCTGGCCGCACCCGAGGCTGCCTGTGCTCCAGGCTGGGACAGTGGGCGGTGGGGGCAGTACTGCCAGGGAACAGCCCACTCAGTGTGGTCACTTCTCCAAGTTTCTGCAACGGAGGAGTCTGGTGATGGGCAGCCCCTGCCTGAGCGCCTCCTGCGGCCGGCAGTGCGCCCAGCAGAGGTCCGGCTTTGAGGCGCTGGGCCTGCCTCTGGGGCCTGGGAGCCCCATGCTGACCCTAGCTAGTCCTCTCTCCGAGGCTTTCCAGCTGCAGACACTTGCCCTGGCCCTCAGCATGTCCTGCTCGGAGGGCATTGAGCCCTTTCCGCAGGAGGGAGAGCTTGTCTCTGGCCTGGGGCCGTGCTTGGTAGCCAGTTCTGATGACCGCGGTGAGCACAGCTGCCTGCAGTCCGTGGAGCACTTCGTCTGTGCCACGTCCACTCTGCCACGCAGGCCGTGGCCCTTAGCAGGGACGGTGGGGCTGCCGCCACTCCCACTGGCAAGGTGCTAAGCAGGAGTGGCGGAGGGGACTGGGCGACAGGCTGTGTGGGCCCGCCGTGCTCATAGGACACACGCGTGGACTCAGCCCGGCCGTGGCGCCACAGTGGGTGACCCTGCCTCCAGGTGTTGCCAGCTGGGGCCCAGCCATGCTGGAGCAGAGCAGCTTCCACACAGAGATACTCCTGATCCTGACAGTCTGCAAGCCTGATAGTGTGTGTGCCTCCTCCGCTGAGCTCTGCAGTGTTTGTCCGGCAGGCGGGATGCCTCCTCCTCTGTGCCCCTGTACACCTGAGGCCAGCAGGGCCCGAGTCCCTGGTGCCCATGGCCTGGCCCGTGGAGGGCGCCTCGGGAGCCCAGGGAGGGAGGCAGAGACCCCGTTGGTCTCGCTGCCACCGGCTCACCCCTTTTCTCTGGAAGGTTCACAGCATCCTGTCTGTACCCTGGAAGGTCATGCTAGTGGCCGACATGGATCTGCACCAGGTGCTGTCCATCTGTGTTTGCAGACAGGTGGACTGCGGAGGGTCCCAAGGGTCGGGAGGGCCCGTGACCCAGGGTCGACTGCATGGCCGAGACAGCCATGCCCCTGGGTGGGTTCCGCCCTGGCCACCACCCTAAGTCCCACTGTGAGCCCCGGTGGCCCCAGGGCCCTGGAAATGTGCCGGGAGAGTCAGTTCATAACGTAGTTTATATTCCGCCGCTGTTTTTTCAGTTAAATGCAGGTGAACCTGCAGTAGATTCGTCTAAATCCACACAGCTGCGGAAGCTGGTGCTTTTCTTATTTCTTTCTCTGAATTTTCACCGAGGGGCTTTTATCTTCCCCTTAATCCTACCATTTCTGTCAGGACATAATCTCTTTCTCAAATTTACATTTTAATTACAAGGCCAGCTGAACTAGGTAAAATCAATAATGTCAAGCTCGGCGGCCTAACTCCGTGCGGAAGCCGCAGCCTCTCCATTTCCCGCTATCGATTCATCGCTCCCACCCTGTCTGCCTTAGTGCTCCAGGCAAATGGGTACCACTTGGTCAATTTAAACAAAAAAGGGGATTTGGGCATTTGTAGGATTCTTTCGAAAAGCAAATGTGGGAGTAAATTTGAGCCAGGCTCCTGTACAGGAGGCCCACGCCCCTCTGGTGGCTGGGCGCGGCTGGCCAGGCGGTGTGGCCGCGGCACGTGGCCTCCAGCTGTGCCGGAGAATGCTCGCTCCCGGGCCTGAGGCATGCCGTTTGCTTTTTGGGGTTTTACTTTGAAAGTGTATGTCAGTGAGATTGATTTTCTACAACAATGTGAAAATGGTAGTGTTTTTTTAGCGCCCTGAGTATTTACTCTGCTTTAACACGCTTACCCATCTTTTTAATGGTTTAAAACAACAAATCAATGAAAAATATATTTCATTCTTGTAACTCCTAGGAATTCTCATATTGATCCTTAGGCTGTGATTGTATCCATCTAAATGCCACAATGCCCACTTATCAGCCTCCCTCCTGCCCCCGCCCTGCATTGGGCGCGTGCGTGTGGCACGCATGCACACTCGTGGGGCTGACTAACCGTGACAGGCTCTTGTCAGTATCCTGAGTAGGGGTGTTGGGGGGTTTTGGGAGCTGGGGCTAGGGTGTCATGGTGATGATGGAGCCTGGTCTGTCGTCCCCATGCTGGGGGACCCATCATGCCCGAGCGGCTCCGTCTTCCACTCTCAGCCACGGGAACCTGAGAAAGGGCAGCAGGCAGGCTTGCCGGGCGTCTGGAGTAGGCGCCGGCAGGTGTTTCCTGCGAAGGGCCCGTGGGCTTCTGGAGCCCCCGCGAAACCAGCTATGCGCAGCCACGTGCGGGGAAAACCATGCTCAGAAAGCGGCCTGTCCGCTGACGCCCACGAAGGATTGGGCTGGCCGTCTCCAGGTCGAGTCAGGCTGCCCCTGCTGCAGAGAGCCCACGCCCGAAGCAGACACGGCCCCTCCCAGCGGCACTGGCCCAGCGAGGCTCTTCCTTGAGTCCTGAATGGCCGGGAAGCCTTCCCTGGTGTCCAGTCCTCGGTGCTGCCACGTCCTTTCCGATTTTCCCTCCAAATCCAGTATTGGTGCTTCGGTGTTGGAGAGTGCTGGGTGGAGCCGTGTTCAGCAGGACCCTCAACCCCGTGCGTCTGCGTGCTCAGGAAGGGTGTGTGTGTCAGTTTCTGACATCTGGGTCTCCACTGCCCTTTGCTCGGCTCCTTCTGACCGCTCCGTGACCCAGGGACCGTGGTCTGGGGACGCTGAGGTCCCCCGGTCCTCCTGCCTGGTGGTCCCGTCAGGCTTCGCAAATACAGCGCCCCTTGTGGCTGCGGATTTGACCTTTTTGGTCTGTTTTATGAGGGTCTGCAGAGCCGGGCGCGGCAAGCCCCTGAGCTGCTTACCACGTGCGCCGTGCCTCTGCTCATACGTCCATTCTGAGCCTGAGCCCCGGTTGTCCTGGTGACGCTGCTGTCCGCGCTTTCTCTGTCCCACTTGCAGGGTAAGTCCACACGGCCGTCTTCAGCTTCATCATTTTGTTGACCATTTGCTTTAAGTGGGTCTTGTGTGGACTGCAAGTTGCTAAAAGTTTTAGGACTAATCTGCCTTTTAGCTGATTTTAATCCATTTAATGAATTGTTGTTCAATGTCCCAGGCACTTTACTCCCCACTTGTTTTTTTCTTTTTCCCACCTTTGGTTTGGTAGGTTAATGTTTTTTCTGTTCGTTTTTAAAACATTCATTAAATATTAATACAACTGTAAGATCATTGATTTTTCTGAGGGTTATCCCGCATTTTTCAAAGCTTCATCCCCATGTTTCCTGTGCACGGTTCCGGTCACAGCGTAACGATGTCTGCACCCCCCTCCCCCCGCAGCCCTCCCCCCATAGCCCTCCGCAGCCCCGCACCGTGCTCACCCGGGTGCTGGCTCAGCTCTGGTGCTGGGTGTGCAGCGAGAGGCATGGCCGTCACTTGGCACTTACATTCGCATGCCTTGCCCCAAACTCACTTTCCTCCCGGACAGATCGATTACTTTCTCGGGGAGTGTTTTCGAAGCAGGCCTTCCAGTGGCTCCAGAAGGGGTGTCGTGTGCGCGGGGCCGTCCATCACGGGCACCGCGAGTTGCTAGTGAGCTAGATAGAAAGTTCTAAGTGTGAACGTCTTTTCCTTCAACCTCCTCAGGATGGTCTCCGGATACTTCACCTTCACCGTCACTGTTAAAAATGCTGGTATTGGTAGGATGCTTGTCTTTCAAGGTATCCGCCTTTTCTCTTTGGAAGCTTTTTGGATCTTTCTCTTCATCTTCAACGTCTCTAAATCTCCTCGTAACTGCATTAGCCAAGTTTTCTCCATCTCTTTCTTGGCACTCAGCAGGCCCTTTTGGTCTTTCCCAAATTCCAGGAAAATTGGGTGTCTTATTTCTTCAACTGTTTCCAAACTCCAGTTATATTTTCTGTGCTTCTGGGGTCCAGTAACGGGGATGCTGACACCTGTGTGCTGCGCATCTGGTCTCCCCACCTGAGCTGTGAAAGCTGCCCCCGGCTTCGTCCCCCGCCTGCTGCCTGGGGTGCGTGCCACTCACGTGCGCCTCCACCTGCCTGGCGAGTCGTTACCGCATTCTGTGGGGGGGGGGGTCTCCACTCTCCCCTCCTCTTCCCAAGCTCCGGGCCCCTAGGCCCTTGGGGAGCGTGCAGCACACTTGACCTCTTGACGTCTTGTCCTCTGGGACATGATGCTCAGCCTGTTTCCTTCCTTCCTGGCAGGTCACAGTTTTCAAGGTGTGAGTGCGCTCAGCCTGCAGGCTGTCAGCGGGGAGAGTGCTCAGTGCAGGCCCTTGGCCCCCACCGCGAGTGTGGGGAGGGGGCGATTCCCACGGGGTGCCTTGCCTCTGGTGACATCATCCACACCCTGTGCCGCCCTGGGACCATGGCTTGCACGGGGCAGGGGAGCTGTGCGCCCCACAGAGGGGCCAGCAGGGGTCAGGGAGGGCCCTGATAGTGTTGAGGAATCTGCTTTCACCCTGTTCTCAGGACTTGGGGATAGACGCTGGCCTGCAGAGGTCAGCGGCCTGGTGGCCTCGTCTGTGGTGTTGGGAGACGCCAGCGTGGTGGGCTCGTCTGGCTGACAGCCAAGCAGGTGCTGCGCGGAGCTTGGCTGTGGGCTAGTGCGTGCATCACTGCTGTGCTGTCGCCATGGGATGGAGCACAGTGCCCCCGCGGGTCGGTCTGGGCTCGTGGAAACGGTGGCCGGGAACAACAGCACATCTCTGTTCCAGGGCTGGAGAAAGACCCGGCTGCACGGGGCTTGCAGGCAAGGAAGATGGCGAGGAGGGATGAGGAGGCACGTGACCCCACCTCTGCTGCTGCCCAGCTGCATCAGCTGCGTGGACGCTTGCCCCCTCCCCCGAGCCCCAGGTGACTTCCAGACACCCTGCCTCTGCCCAGGGTGTTGACCTGCCTCCTCAAGCTGCCGAGACCCCTCTGGCTGTGCGGGGGCAGCCCTGGGTGCGCCCCTGGCCGGGAGAGCACCTGCCACTATCTGTGCCTAGGGCAGGGCTTGCACGGGATGGGGGGGCTCCTCAGAGAGCTGGCATGTCAGCCGGGGCACGGGGGCGGATGTCCGGACACCCCCAGGCCCAGGATGAAGACCAGAGATCCCAGACCAGCTCCCTGCACAGCTCCCTGGAGCCCGCTGGGGCTTGGTGCTGGGCTTCTCACGGGCCCAAGAGGCTGCCCTGGAGCCCGGGCCCAAGGTGGCAGAGGTCACTGCTCCAGTGTTTTGACCCCGGGGGCTCTGTGTCTGTGCTCGGGGAGGAAGGGAGGACAGAAGGAGGCAGGTGGCTGTGGCCAGCTCCTGCATGCACAGTCAGGGTGTCGTCTTTGTGGCCTCGCCAGGGCACCTGTGGGACCGGAGGAGGCTGGGAAGCTGGCAGCAGAGTGGGCCCGGGCGCCTGTTGTGCCCTTTGGGGTGGACCTGTGCTACTGGGGCCAGGAGCAGCCGATGGCTGGAAAGATCCTCAAGTGAGTGTGGGTGTGTCTGGTCCTGCCTTTTCCCGGCCGGCGGGCATACTACCAGGCCCAGGGCCTGGCTCTGCCTTACGGTCCCTGCGGGTGCGATCACCACACGCAGGCTCTACTGGGACCATAGAACTGTGGCTGGGGCGGGTGGGGGGCGGCTGGACCTTTTCTGAACCTTCCTGTGGCTCCCTGGGGAGACGTCCTCCTACACAGTGTGGCATCGTCAGGTGTGAAGGATGGCTGCCTGGCCCGAGGCCCTTCCTGATCCATCCTCGCCCCTCCGATGCTCTGACTCAGACCTCCACACAGGCCAGGCCTGGGGTCTGCAAGGACTTTCGGGGAGCTGTCCCCTCGCAGTGCTTGCCGACGCTCTCTGTGGGGCCGCAGACGAGAAGGGGGCACAGGTGCATCCCCCAGGTGAGCCCCCGCCCGCTAGTGCTGCCTGTCCTGCCAGGCTTCGGGCAGCCATGGAGTCCGTGGACGGGACGACTCGAGGTTTGGCTTGTGGCACCTGCGATGGGGTCCAGAAGTCTTTGTGGCCTGCTCTCCTTGGGCTGCCTGGCCTGGAGCCACACTGTTGGCAGCATCCCTGGGGCAGCTACGAGAGTCTGGTGTTGCAGGTGTGACTCTGAGCACCGCTTCTGGAAGCCCAGTGAGGTGGACACGGAAGTGCTCAGCACCACCGTCTCAGAGATGCTGCAGAACCGCTACATCACCTTTGCGGGGAAGTTCGAGCCCGTGCAACACCGGTGCCGCGCCCCGAGGCCTGATGGCCGGCTCTGCGAGCGTCAGGACCGGCTGAAGGTGAGGCGGCAGCCAGGGCCGGGGAGGGCCGCAGCACGCGGGGATGGTTGCTGCAGGACTCCGCTGGGCCAGGACAGGGTGGCCAGATGGAGTGCTGGGCTCCAGCCGGCCGGTGTGAAGCCCGCCGTGGCCTTCAGCTGGGCCCCCTCCCCAGGGAGGGCTTGTCCGTGGCTGGCAGGCCTTGTGCCGCGGTCGGGAGTCTGACATCCGGGACCTGGGGGGGCTCTGCACTGGTTCCCGCGTCCCTGGCTCTCCACAGCACCTCCTAAGCCCAAGATGCGCTGAGTGCCGGGCGGCCAGTGTGAAGGGAGGTGGCTTTGGCCGGGCCGATGGAGGCCCCAGCCTCCCCAGACGGCTCTCCTCTTTGTCACAGTGCCCTTTCCATGGGAAGATCATCCCCAGAGATGAGGCGGGCCGGCCCCTCCACCCGGAGGATAGGGCCTGGGAACAGAGGCAGCAGCTGCAGAGACAGGCAGGGCATGCAGGTAGGTCTTGGGGGCTGGAGCAGACGGTGGGCACTGTGTGGGGGGATGGCCCGGGACCCTGGCGGCCACCTGCCGCCTCCAGCATGGTCGTAACTCACAGCAGTGCCGCAAGAGACATGGGCTTCTAGTTGGGCCACGTGTTCGTGTCGCTGCCACTGGGGTCACGGACTCATGGCCAGAAACCACCAGTATGTTGTTTGGTGGTTCGGGTTCTGGGTTCTGAGTCACGTTTTTAAGGAAATGGGGGAATGGAGGTAAGAAAAGTTACTGGCTGAAGCCCATTCTCCAGAGAGGAGAGCAGCACATTCTCACCAGGTGGACACTTACCCCGTTGCCTTGCCCATACCCTCTCCTCTGCAGCACAGCAGGTTCCGGGCATGTGTGTGCACGTGCCTGTGTGCATGTCCAGGCGGACGCAAGGAGGTGCCAGGCAGGCCCTGAGCCCCAAGGCTCGGGAGCCAGGTCTCCACAGAGGCTGGTTCAGGGTTCTAGCTCACAGGCTAGCTTCAGGCCTTGAACCATGTAAGTGTTGTTTGCAGGACAACTTGGGGAACTTGTCTCAACACGGTACGTGTGTCAGCGCCTTGTGCTGGGCACGTGGCACATGCTGGCCACCACGTGACTCCCAAGGATCCCTGAACAGCAGGGCCACGTGGTGTCCCCCGGAAGTGGCCGTCACTGGGCAGCATGTGGGCACTCTCAGAATTGGGGGGCACCCACCAGATCCCTGATCTGTCTCCGTGTCCCTGTGGTTTGTCAAGCCTGGGCTATGGTCTGGAGGTCCTGGCTGCCTGGGGCTCTCGCTGTCCCAAGAAAGCCACATCGATGGGGGAAGAGCCCCGATGAAGGGAAGGCGGCCATGTGCGTGGGTGCAGCACTGGCCTGCACGTGAGGGTCCCAGCCGGGCTGTGTTTGTCGTCATTAGTGGGGTTTTTCCCTTTGACAGATGTGAGATTTCAGGCTGACACTGTGTCTGAGCCACCCTGGGCCATGGACGGTGGCAAGGGGGGGCCCCTGACCTGCTAATCCGCAGGGCGAGGCCTTCCCTGGTGGCTCACACTCAGGAGCAAATTAAGTGCGTATTTTTTGTGTCAGCCCTGAAGAGTATCTGGTTCTCCAGGCTCCGGTGACTTGTTAACAACAGGTACCGGGCTGTGGCCGCGGGCCGGCACTGGCCAGTCAGATGTGAAATAGCATCTCTTTACTAACTACACTATTGATCCCCGCCTCCCTCGCACACGGGGCAATTTTCTTTTCCCTGGCGCTAACCTTGGTGACAATGCACGCCGAGCTCCAGGGCCCGCCAGCGCACAGGAAGGCCGCGCGGCCCCGGCATCTATTGATTTTCTTCAAAGGCTTTTAAATTGCTCCTTCATTTTACTGAGATGCTCATTCCATCTCTCCCGGGCGCTGGTATTTTTCCGTGGTGTTTAAACAATTGCTCCATTCACTGGGCTCCTAAACTGTGGCGCCTTCTTATTACGGGAGATAAACTGTTTAGACAGTTTTCCTTAATCTTGGATTAATCGTTCCTGGATCTGAATTGTGCAGCCCTGTACTCCTTCACTTCAAAAAAATCAACTTGGGGAGGCCTAGCCATCTGTCTGGGGTGCACATTCCGTGGGGTTCCCGTGGGCGTGGTGGGCGCCATCAGAGTGTGGGGCGCCTGGCACACTTTTGTGAGCCAGGCTCGGTGTCCGTAGGTCTGGGCGCATGAAGGGGGCTGTGCTGTCGCACTCCTGACCGGGATGGCCTTCTGGAGGTGGCCAGGCTGGCTGGCGCCCTGGCTCATGGAGCCCGCCTCCACCTTTCAGAGGCAGAGCAGCCCTCACTGGGGCCAGGAAGCCGAGGCCAGGATGGGAAGGAGCAGCCAGGGCAGTAGCAGGGCCTTGGGCACCCTGGGCGTTAGACAGTGGAAGCTTCCCTCAGCCCTGGTGGATGAGCGCACTGGCGAGGCCGGGCTCTGTGGGACCTGGTGTGCCTTCTCCTGCCGCCTGGCCTGGGCCGTGGCAGACCACACGTGGCAAGAAGAGCAGAGCTGCCCCCTTGTTGCTGAAGCCTGTTGCCAAGTTCTCTTTGGATCAGTAAAAAAGCTCGGCCCCCTCCTGACCCCTTAGCCCTGGCCGCCCCTGGTGCACACAAACACCAGTCAGCAGATGGGTCTGGCCACGTAATTGGGGGCCTCCTGGGGCCCAGTCCAGCTGGAGGCAGGGAAATAGCCTGCCACGGGCACCCGTCTCAGCTGCCTTCCTGCGCGGGGGGGTCAGTGGATGCAGCAGATGAGGCCTCTGGGTCCTGTCGCTGGGCCCTGTGGGCCCCTGAGACAGGGGTGGGGAGCTCTGCCTTGCCGTCTGCCCCCTTTGTCGCTGGTCGGCAGTGGGCAAGCTGCGCCGACCCTTGAGGCAAGGAGGGGTCGGGGCTCGACTGAGAGACTCTCTGGTTGATGACAGAAGTGTCTTGAAATCTCGGGGTCTCTTTGCAGGTTGGCAGGACCCCGAGTTTATGAGAGATGTGGAGGCTGCCACGGGAGTGGACCTTGGCTCATCTAGGTCCAGCGGGAGAGGCAAGGGCAAGAGGAGGAAGCACCCTGGCCTCACCGACCTGAAGCAGCAGGCCAACACCGCCCGCGCACGCATCGCCAAGAAGGTGTTTGCTAAGTAAGAGCTCCTTGCGGCATGCCCGCCCCCTCCCCCCGGATTTGGGGGTGCCGGAGGTGGGCTGACTGAGCTCCAAAACACTATCAAGGCTTGGGGCTCCTAGCTCCTCTCTCCTACATAGTTCTCCCTGTGACCACCAGGCCCCCCCGGGCGGGATGGGCGCTCCTAGCCAGGAGGGCCACGGGTGGGCCATTCAGGAGCGGAGCCTGGAGCTGGTCACCCCAAAGGGAGGGATGAGCGTCTTCTCTAGCGGAGGGGCTTCACTGACCAGCCAGCACACCCTCATTTCCTGGTGGTGGGGTGAGGCCTCCATGGGGACTGCTGGTACGGAGCCAGGTCCATGGCCCTCCCTTGCCCAGATGACCCGGAAGGGTGCTCTCGTGGTCAGTGCCCAGTGGTGTCCACCTGGTAACGGCCAGCAGGGGAGTACCTTCCAAGGCTGGTGGGATGGGAGCGGAGGTCCCAGGTCTCCGCTCCAGCAGAGCTTGGCCAGTGCTGCCAGGGAGGTGGGTCAGGGACGGGGCATCTCCGCAGCCCAGCTAGACGTGCCTGGTGGTTGGGAATTCGGCAGGGCCAGGGCAGGAAGGCCACCAGCCAGCACTCTCACTGCCTGCCTGCCACTGGGGCTGGCCAGACGAAGGCATTTGGGGTGCTTGTGTAGGAAGCCCCATGAAGCCATGGCCTCCCTGGTCGGATTTATGCTCAGGTTGTGGGTGTCATCAGGCCGTCCTCATGGGCCAGGCTTCTCAAGCAGACACCTGGAAGGCGTTCAGCTCCGTGTGGCGGGCGAAGGAGGCTCTTCCTATCCTCTCAGCCAGCGTCACCATGTGCTTGGCCTGAGTGGGGTCACACAGGAGGGCGGCTTTCTCAGTGGCCGCACGGAGCCCCCATGAGCTTATCCTGTTGGAGGGCCACAGGTGACTGAGCCCTGGGGTTGCACCCAGCGGTCACACGGGCACTTGGGGGCAGCGGGGCATCCCTGCTTGGCGGCCTCGGAGGCTTTCTCCTGAGTACGGAGTCCTGCTGAGCTCAGGCACTCGGCGGCACAGCAACCAGGCCAGGCAGCGAGACGGACTTGATTGCCCGTCTGTATGTTTTTGCTGCAGGACTGGAGTGCTGCCCCGTGGCTCTGTCCTGGGGTGCTATGCATGTGGCTGGGCAAGCTGGGCAGGGTCTGGATCTGACGCTGCCTTGTTGCATCTGCCCTGAAGCTGCTCCCCACCAGCCTGCTGGGCAGGCTCTGCCTTCATTCTGGGTGCTGGCGAGATTAGGGATCCTGGGAGCTGCCTTCACGGCTCAGGGAACGTTCATGTCACGGTTGCTTTTATTTCTGAGCTGTGTCACCCATCTGCAGGGAGTCAGTGGTCTGCGTGTGGCAGCCGCCGGGGACCAGGGCCTGATCCCAGCCAGACGATGGTCGGAGCCCAGAGACCTGGCTGGGCTTCCCTGATCACGTCTTGCTTTGCTTTCCCCACAGGGCCGCTGTGCAGAGGGTGGTCACAGCCATGAATCAGATGGACCGGAAGAAGCATGAGAAGTTTGCAAACCAGTTTAACTATGCACTGACTTAGAGGGCCAGACTGGGTCTGTGTGGTCCCCTCTGGTTGTCTCCTCTTCTCCCTCGGCCAGGGCACCAGGATCGGAGCGCAGACACAGGACTGGGCTGTAACCACAGCCACTGTTGTTATATGTGTGTTTCGTGTGAGGAAAGAGTATGTATTCTAGTCACAGTGCCCCAGAGGTATGGACTCCCCCTTCCCTGGGGAGCCACAGCCATCCGGGTTATGGGTCTGGCCCGCCCGAGAGCCTGGAGGTGACATGGGCAGCGTGGCTCAGTGGGGCATCTTGCAAAGCCTGTACCCATGTCACCCCAAGCCCCACTTCCCCACCTTGTCCCTGGGCAGTAGGAGGGACTCGGGGGAGACTCTAGGAACCCTCACACTTCTATGTAAACACTTTTTTTTTTTTTTTAAGACAAGCTGGGAAGTGAACCGTTCAGCGTCGCACCTTGCATTTCCAGCTCACAGAGCGTTTTGGTGATGGTTCTGCATTAGAATGTCAACAACTACCTCTCTGCTTTTGTGTTTTTCAAAAAATAGCTTTATACTCCCACACCCTAGAATTCACCCTTTCAAAGTGTACCACTTAAGTGTGGCATGAAGTGCGTTGTACAACCTGGACCACCTGGTTGCAGAACTTTCCATCACCCCAGAAGAAAGCCTGTCCCTGTTAGCAGTCACTCCCCTACTCCTTCCTCCAGCCCCTGTCCCTTCCTGATTTGTTTGTGGCTCTGTCCATTTTGGGTGGACAGCATCCTAGCAACACGTGGCCTTTCGTGTCTGGTTAGTTCACTTAGCACAGTGTGTCCTGGGTTCTTCCATGTTGTGGAATGTGTCAGAGCCCCGGGCCCTTTTACTGCCCACTGATGACACCGAAGTGTGGGCACAGCACGCTGTTTATCTGTTTATCACGGACATTTGGGTGGTTCTCACACTGTTTGGCTGTGATGAGCGATGTTTCTGTGAACGTGTGTGCAAGTCTTGTGTGGACATAGATTTTCATTTCTTTTAGGTTTACGCCCAGAAGTGGAATCACTAGCTCCCTTGGCAACTCTGTTTAACTTGTTGGTGAACCACCAGACTGTTGCACGGCAGTTGCACCATTTGACTTACATTCCCGCCACAGTGCGTGAGGGTGCCAGTTCCTCTGTGTTTTTGCCAACACGTTATCTGTGTTTCATCTTAGCCATCTTGGTATGAAATGGTATCTTTTATTTTTTTTTAAATGTTATTTATTTGAGAGAGAGAACATGAGAGTGGGGAGGGGCAGAGGCAGAGGGAGAAGCAGACTCCCCTCTGAGCAGGGAGCCCGATGCGGGGCTTGATCCCAGGACCCTGGGATCATGACCTGAGCCGAAGGCAGACACTTAACCAACTGAGCCACCCAGACGCCCCTGAGGTGGTATCTTGATTTGCATTTTAATTTGTATTTTCCTAATGACTGCTTATACTATCTTTTCATGTGCTTATTGGCCATTTGTGTATTTTTTCGGAGAACTATCTATTCAGATCCTTTGCTCATTTTCAATTGCGTTGTTGGAGTTGTAAGAATTCTTTATATATTCTAGGGGCATCTGGGTGGCTCAGTTGGTTAAACATCTGCCTTCAACTCGGGTCATGATCTCAGGGTCCTGGGATCGAGTCCTGCATCAGGCTCCCTGCTCAGCGGGGAGTCTGCTTCTCCCTCTCCCTCTGCTGCTCCCCCTGCTTGTGCACTCTCTCTCTTTCTCTCTCTGAAATAAATAAAACCTTAAAAAAAAAAAAGAATTCTTTATATATTCTAGACCCTTATATTGTTTGCAAATATTTTCTCCCATTCTTTTCACTTTCTCGATGGTGCCCTTTGAAGCACTAAGTTGCTAATTTTAATGACATCCAATATCTACTTTTTCTTTTGTTTCGTGTGCTTCTGGTGTCCTGAGCACCTGGCCTGATCCAAGATTATGATTTACTCCTACATTTTCTTCTAAGAGTTTTATACTTTTAGCTCTTAAATTTAGGTCTTTGATCCATTTTGAGTTAATTTTTGTATATGGTGTGAGGTAGGGATTCAACTTCATTCTTCTGTGTGTGGATTCCAGTTGTCCCAGCACCATGTGTTGAAAAGATTATTCTTTCCCCCACCAAGTTATCTTGACACCTTTGCTGATCATCCGTTGGCCATAAATCTAAGAGTTTATTTCTGGTTTCTCCGTTCTGTTCCACTGACCTATTATATATCCTTATGCCGGTGCTGCAGTGTCTTGGTTAATCTTGCTTTGTGGTAAGTTTTGAACCCTGAAAGTAAGTCCTCCAACTTTGTTCTTTTTCAAGATTATCTTGGCTCTTCTGGGTCCCTTGCATTTCCAAATGAATTTTAGGATCGGCTTGTTAATTTCTACCAAAAAAGGGCAGCTGAGATTTTGATAGAGATTTTATTGAATCTAGGGATCACTTTGGAAAGTATTGTCATCTTCATATTAAGTTTTATGATTCATGAACTTGGGATATTATTATTTGGCTGTTTTTTAGCTTATTTCAACAGTTTTTTTATTGTTTTCAGTGTACAAGTTTTGTACTTATTTTGTTAAATTTATTCTTAAATATTTTATTCTTTTTGGTGCTATTATAATTGTTTTCTGAATTTCATTTTTGGATTGTTCATTGCTAATGTATAGAAATACAACTGATTTTTGTATGTTGGTCTTGTAGCCTGAAACCGTGCTGAGCTCGGTTAGTTCTAATTGTGTGTGTGTGTGTGTGTGTAGATTCCTTGGGATTTTCTCTATGCACAATCATGTCATCTGCAAATAGAATGCTTCCTTTACAATTTGGTTGCCTTTCTTTCTTTTGCCTAATTGCCTTGGCAAATTAGGAACCTCCAGTACAATGTCAAATAGCAGCAGTGAGAGCAGACATCTTCATCTTGTTCGTGGTTTTGTGGAGAAAGCTTTCAGTCTTTCACCATTGAAAATGGTGTTGGCTGTGGGTTTTTGTAGATGCTTTTTGCCAGGCTGAGAAAGTTCCCTTCTAATTCTAGTTTGTTGAGTGTTTTTGTCTTGATGTTGAATTCTGTCAGATGTCTTTCTATATCTATTAAAATGGTCGTGTGGTTTTTGTTCTTTATTCTGTTGCGATGGTATACTACATGAATTGTTTTTCATATGCTGAACCACCCTTGGATTCATGGGATAAATCCCACTTGGTCTGATATATAATTCTTTTTATGTTATTGCACTTGGTTTGCTAATATTCTGTGATTCCGATGACCTGGTTTGCTAGTATTTTGTTAAGGAATTTTGTGTCTCTGCTCATAAGAGATACTACCATACACTTTTCTTCTTATGATGTCCTTGTCTGGCTTTGGTATCAAAGTAGTACTGTCCTCATAGATTGAGTTGGGAAATGTTCCTTCCTCGTCTGTTTTTTGGAAGAGTTTATGAAGGATTTGTGTTAATCCTTTAAACATTTGGTGGAATTCACCAGTGAGGTCATCTGGTTCTGGGCTTTTCCTTGTGAGAAGTTTTTTTTTGTTTTTAATTTATTATCTTGGGTGCCTGGGTGGCTTAGTTGGTTAAGCGTCTGCCTTCGGCTCAGATCATGATCCCAGGGTCCTGGGATCAAGTCCCAAATGCTCCCTGCTCAGCGGGAATTCTGCTTCTTCCTCTCCCTCTGCCGCTCCTTCTGCTGGTGCTCTCTCTCTCTCGCCCTGACAAATAAATGAAATCTTTAAAAAATTAATTTATTATCTTTATTTATTATAGATGTTTAGATTTCCTGTTTTTCCTTGAATCAGTCTTAGTAGTTTCTATATTTTTAGGAATTTGTCTATTTCATACAGGTTTTTGGTTGTAATTTGTTGACATACAGTTGTTTACAGTATTCCTTTGTAATTCTTTTTATTTCTTTAAGGTTGCTGGCAATGTCTCTTCTTTCATTCCTGGTTTTAGAAATCTGAGTGTTTTCTCACTTTTTAAAATATACTTGGCCTGTCTAACTAAAGGCTTATCAATTTTATTGATTTAGGGCGCCTGGGTGGCTCAGTTGGTTAAGCGACTGCCTTCGGCTCAGGTCATGATCCTGGAGTCCCGGGATCGAGTCCCGCATCGGGCTCCCTGCTCGGCGGGGAGTCTGCTTCTTCCTCTGACCCTCCCCCCTCTCATGTGCGCTCTCTCTCTCATTCTCTCTCTCAAATAAATAAATAAAAATCTTTAAAAAAAAAATTTTATTGATTTATTCAAAACCCAACTTCTGGTTTTGTTGATTTTTCTCTCATTTTTTTCATTTTTTGTTTTGTTAATTTCCGCTCTGATCTTTATTGTTTACTTTGCGTTGCTTTGGGTTTAGTTTTCTCTCTTTCTAGTGTCTTAAGATAGAAGATTAGCTTATTGATTTGAGGTCTAGCTTCTTTTTCAGGTAGGTGTTTACAACTGTAAGTTTTCATCTAAGCACTGCTTTAGCTTCATTGCATAAGTTTTGGTATGTTGTGTTTCATCTTTATCTCCAAGTATTTTCTAATTTCTCTTGAATTTCTTTTACCCATTGATTATTCAGGAGTTGGTTTAATTTCCACATACTTGTTAATTTCCCAAATTTTCTTTTGTTATTTGATTTCTAATTTTATTCCATGTGGCCAAAGAATATATTGTGTATGATTTCAGTCCTTTGAAATTTATTTTATATATGTATCCTGGAGAATGTTCCATGTACACTTGAGAAACTGTTCTGTTGTTGAGTGTTCTGTAGATACGTGTTAAGTCAAGGTGGTTCATAGTATCATTTATGTCTTCTCTTTCCCCATTGACCTTCAACCCAGTTGTTCTCCATACTGTTATTTTTCCTGATGGAGGGACCCTTTTGTAATGGGGTCTTCTCTGTGTCTGGTAACAGCTTTTGTCTTAAAGTCTCTTTTGTATGATGTCCATATGCCTTGTGGTTTTTGTTTGTGTGGTACATCTTCTTCCACCCTTGTAGTTTTGGTGTCTGAGTCTGATGTGCTCCTTGAAGACAGCTGATTGTGGCTTTTAATCTGTTCTGCTGATCTCTGCCTCCAAGTGTGATATTTAGTCCATTTACCTTTAATGTACTTACTGATAAGGGAAGATTTATGTCTGTCATTTTTCAGTTTTTCTACA